TCAACTATTTTGTCTTCCCATAAGTTCACTGTTTCCATTTTAATGTTGAATTATTTGATCTGTTTTTATTTTACTTAGTACATGGTGAAAGAGATGGATCCAGCTTTGATCTCATGCATATAAATAGCCAATGTTCCCATAACTATTTGTTAAATATGCTATCTTTACTACAATGTGTGTTCCCAGTCCCTTTGTTGAAGATTAAATAGCTGAATGTGCCCGGGGATATTTCTGTGTCCTTTATTGTGATCATACAACTACATATCATTGTGCCAGTATCATGCCATTTTTGTCACTGTTGCATCGTAGTATAACTTGAAGGTAGGAACACTATTAAATTTTGTCCTTTGAACTTGTAACCTGATATTTTCTTTCTTTCTTAGTTCTCAGAGTCTTCTTCTGGAGTTCTTTGTTGCTTCTATATAAAGTGTCAGATCTTCTGCAAATGAGAGTAGTTTGACTTCTTTCTTCCCTGTTCTTATTCTTTTCATCACTTTCTCTTTCCTGGTTGTTGTGACTCAAGTTTGAGTAGTGTGAAACAAGTGCTGATAATGAGGTTTTTGTTCCTGATTTTGGAGCAAATATTTTGACTTTTTCCTTACTTAGTATGACGTTTGCAGTGGGTTTGTCATAAATATGTTTTATCAGTTTGAGCTAAGATTCTTCTAGGCCTATTTGTATTAGTGTTTTTGATCATGAATAGATGGTGGATTTTATCAAAGTGACTTTTTTCCATCTTACGGAGATCATGTGGTTTTCACTCTTACTTGTGTAAAAACAGATGATAAATTTTAACTTTTATTCTGCTATGCATCTTAGCTTCCTAAATTTTCTGTCTTGGAAATCCTCCTAACTGCAGAAAATGAACTTGATTTCTTAACTTCTTCTCCTCTGGAACTCTGAAACTCATTTAAGATTCATGTCTTTAGGCCGGGTGTGGTAGCACGTGCCTATGATAGCAGCATTTTGGAGGCTGAAGCAGGAGGATACCTGTGAGTTCAAGGCCAACCTGTGCTACATAGCCAGACCCTGTCTCAAAAATGATTTCCGTCTTGAGGGTGATAGATGCATCACTGGGAGGAGTCAAAGGGTGAGGTGACTTAAGTGAGAAGCTGCTATATCACACTACTCCTCATAAATGTGAGGTCTTTCTGTTCACTCGAAATCCCTCAGTGCAGAATTATCCTGTCTCTTTTTTATCTCCAGTTTCATTGAAGAGTACTGCTGAACACGAAGTACTGAAGGATATGTTAATTGTGCAATTATTTAATTTTTCATATAAGTACTCTCTGTAAGTATAATATGCTTGTTACTTTACTGTTTTTTCATAAATGGAAACATTTTCTTGCATGTGCGTAGAGGAAGGGATTTTCTGAGCCTGGATTATATCACAGGATATTGCTCTAAAGTCTTAGACCTTCCAGGGTCCTTCGTTTCCAAACAGAGATTTCACTGGCTGGATCTTCACCTTTCATCAGAATATTGTCTGAAGCTTCTGTATAAAAATATATCCCAACAGCATGGTTTCTTCAGGTATTGAATTTTCATTCTGGTAGAAACCAAGAATGCAAGAGAGAACTGTTTTAGAACTGTGTGTTCTCAAATGGACAAGTGGAAGTAAGATCTCTCTTTTTACTTGGAAAAACACTGTTGACACTCAAAGAAATTCATCTTCATACCATTACCTATTCCTACTTATGCGTGGAAAATCAACCTTGGTGTGGCATCACATTAAGTATTATGAAATGTGAAGGAACACAGCCTGGCATAAAAGTTAGTGTACAAGAGTTAAAAGTAACAAGGCATTGTGTCTTTTACTTAAAAAACTTTCTGGTTTTTCTGTAGGTTTAAAGTAAAAAATTACCAGTATGTCCTGGCCTTGGTGTTTGCCATAGAAGAGATCAACAGCAATCACCACCTTTTGCCCAACATATCCCTGGGATATGAACTGCATAATGTTGGGCACAGCCAGTGGAGGACATTGGAGAGTTCCCTCGCTTTGCTCACAGGGCAGGATGAGATCCCTAACTACACCTGCGGGAGAGGGAGCAAGTCCACAGCAGTTCTTACAGGAACAGCGTGGGAAACTTCTGCCCAGGTTGGAACACTGTTGGAACTCTACAGATTTCCACAGGTGAGGAAGGGTAGATGGGAAGAGATAAAACCTTGCCAATTTGGTGCTACTCTTCAGTACTTAAAGAGAGTAGAAACAGAAGGTTATGTTTGTGCATCTCTCAAGATGTACAGTCTACCAACAGTGCAGGAGTTCTTTTCCCCCATAGCCTCGTCAGCATTTGGTATTGGTTGATTTCTTGATAACCATTGGTATGGAATGAAATGTAAACTCATTGTTCTTTTAATTTCACCTTGTCGAATGACCAGAGATGTTGAACATTTTTTATATGTTTATTTGCTGGTTGAACTCCTTCATTTGAGCACAATCTATGGATTTCACATTCCCATGTTTGAAATGGGTCTTCAAATTTGTGTTGTATGACATTTGGGAGTTCTCTGAATATTCTAGATAATAGTCCTTTGTCTGAGGAATAGCTGGTAAAATTTTATCCCCCACTGTGAGTTTCCTTTTCACGTTTTTGGTGGTTTCTTTTGCTATGAAAAGGTCTGTTAATGAGATAAGGTCCCAGTTGTTGATTCCTGGTAGTATTTCCTGTGCCACTGAGGTTTTGTTCAAAAAATCTTTGCCTACACCTATGTTTGTAATAGTTTTATCTAATTTATCTTTCAGGCAATTTAGTGTTTTTGTTTTTATATTTAGATACGTGAGTCATTTTGATTTTGTTAGTGCATGGTAATGCACATTGGTCTAGATGTACTTTTTGGTGCATAGAAATCCAGTTTCATGTCACCAATCATTCATGAAGCTATCTTTCTTTCAGTGAAGGTGTTTGGTCCCTTTGACAAAGATAAGGTAGCTGAGTTGTGCTTGGAGTTGTCTCTGCATCTTTTATTCTGTGCCATTGATCCTCAGGTCTGTTTCTTTGCCATTACCATGCTGTTTTTACCTCACTAGCTGTATAGTAGGACTTCCACTAGGGGACTGTGATGCCCCTTGCTTCCCTTTTTTTCCCCCAGAATTGGTCTTGCTATTCTAGGTCTCTTCTGGTTCCATATGAATTTTACAATTTGTTTTCACTACTTCTCTCGGGTATTCTGTTGGTAATCAATTGGGTTTGCATTACATGTGTGTACTAGTATTAGAAATGTTCCTTTTTTCACTCTGTTGATTCTGCCTGTCCAAGAACAGGAAAGATCTTTACATTTTGTGGTATCTCCTTTGATCTTTTGAGAGCAATGTGGTTTTCACTGTGTATATTTTTCACTTGTGTTGTTAGATTGATTTCTAAGGATTTGATTTTATGTGATGCTATGTGGAAGATGTGGTTTCTGTAATTTCTCTCTTATTGAATTTTGTATACAGGTATGTGCTTGATTTTTGAGTGCTGAATTTGCACCTTGCTATGCTGAGAAATTTGCTTATTAGCGCTGGAAGTCTTTTGGTGCAATTTTTCTTATCTTTGATGTAGAATATGATGTTATCAGGAAAAAAATGATGATTTAATTTATTCTTTCTTTTGTATATTCCTTTTATTTCAATCGCTTGTCTAATTGCTCTGGCTAATGTTTTTGAACTGGAGTGCACCTCAGTGTCCATAGTGGGCATCTTTGTCTTCTTGATTTTGGAGTGAAAATTTTCAATTTTTGATCATTTAGTGTGATGTTGGCTGTTGGTTTGTCTTAGATGGCTTTCATCAGATTGAGATAAAGTGAGTTTTATTCCAATTCCTATAGGGTTTTTATCAGGAGTATGTGTTGGACTTCATCAAATTGTTTCCCTGCATGTATTGAGACGGCCCTGCAGTTGTTGTTCTTGCCTCTGTTGATGTGGTGTACTGCATTTATTGATTTGCATATGCCCAACCATCCTCCATCCTTGGGATGAATCTTCCTTGGTCATGGTATGTAATCTTCTTGATTACTTGCTGTAATCTGTTTGCCAACATCTCACTGAGGATTTCTGAATCTATGTTGATTAAAATGTTTGGTCCATAGTCTGCAGTTTTGGGTGGGTCCTTCCCCGGTTTTGGTGTCAGGGTTAAGCTTGCTTCCAGGAACGAGTTTGGGAATATTGTGTCCCTTTCAATTTCATTCAAGGGTTTGAGGAGTTATAGCATTAGATCTCTGCTAACATTCTTGTAGAATTCAGTATTAATTCCATCAGGACTAGGCATTTTCTTTGTTGGTGAGTTTTTAGTTACATCTTCCATATCATTAATTGAGATTGGTTTGTTTAGAATTTTTACATCTTCTTAATTCAGATGTGATAATTCATATGTATCTGGAAATGTATCCATTTCTTCTGCATTGTTCTTATTCTTAGAATGAATGTTTTCACAGTTAGTATTGATAATCTTCTGAGTTTTGCAGGATCTGTTGTGATTTTGCCCTGTTCCTCTCTAATTGTATGGATTCAAGGCTTTGCTTGCCATTTTTCATGAGCTTGGCTAAGGTTTTGCCTACTTCATTTAACCTTTCAAACAACCAACTTTAGATATCGGCAGTTCAATTATCCCATCTATCCTTGTATATACATATATATTTATTGAAATGAGCAGTTAATGCTGAAATCTTTTTGACCAATTTTGCATGCTTATACCTCGTAATCTGAACAATTAATTTGAAGACAACAAGAGGCAATATAACAACCGTTATTAAGTTCCTACCATCTTGATAACTGAAACTCTGTATCATTTCTAATGATTTTTATTACTTTTTATTCTCTTTAATTGTTTAATCAATCTTGGATTCTTACATCTGGTAATCTGAGCAACAATATGTAATACAACAACAAGTGTTAATTCCTATCATCTTGTTTTGAAATTTGTATTGTTTTTGCGTTGTTTTGTTTTTATCTTTGTTGCTGTTGTTTTCTTTTTCCTTTAAAAGAAAAAACAAAGCAAAACCGAAAAGATCCTTAAAAAGAGAAGCAACTCTCTGATTCATTGATTCTTTATGTTCTTAGTCTCAATTGCATTATCTTCTGGTTTGAGCTCTGTAATTTCCTGCCCCGTATATTTTTCTATTTAACTCACTCTTCTTTTCCTAGAAGCCTGAGGTTCAACATGAAGTTCTTTACTTCAGCTCCATCTGTGTTTTTGCTGTGGGAACTCTGCACTCTAAAATTTCTCCTGTAAGACTGCTTTCATTGCATCCCATACGTTCTGATATGTTGCACTGGCATTATTTTTCAATTGTAGACACAATCAGGTTCATTGTTTAATTTCATCTGTAACCCATTGTGAGTACAACTAGTATGGAAATCTGTATGGAGAGTCCTTATAAACTGAGACTTGGGGTTCCATTTGACCCACGTGTTCCACTTCTTGGTCATTTCAGGAAAAACTTAGAATTCTGATGCCCCAACGATATGAGCACACTCATGTTTATAGCAGCACAGTCTGCAGCAGCTAAATCTTGGACACTGTATAGGCATATATCGGTGGATGAATGGCTAAAGAAGATGCGTTTTTTTCCACAGTGCAGTACTACTCTGTCATAAGAAGGATAAATTTGAGATAGTTTTAGGTAAATGGATACACCTTGACACCGTGTGAGAAACCAAAGTGTAAATAAGGACCAATAAGGTGATAGATGAAGGGAAGCAGCAGGGAAATGTGCGAATGTGCAGGGCATGTGGGAGGAGGGCGGGGAGGATGACAGTGAGAGGAGGGAAAAAGAGAAGGACAAGAGGGAAACAAAGCTCTTATAAATGTGAAGAAAGGAAGCCTTAAGAAAGCAGAGGGCAATGGGAAAAAGCTAAAATATATCATGTGCCAGTGACATTCCTGTGATGAACCTGATGAGAGGATGAATACGAGAAACCCACACTTCTTGTTTTAGTTCATTCGTGGCTTGATGTACGTTTGGCTATTTCCTGCATGAGCTACTACAAACTCTTCATGTAATGGAGTACTACTCTGCAATAACAAAGGATAAGCTTAAGACATTTTTTGCTAAACGTGTGGAAGTTCAGACCACATGCTCAAGTGAAATAAATCAGACAAACCTGTGTAAATATCACAGTGTCTCACTGGTGTGAGAAACTGAAAGTGTAAATAAGAACCAAATTGTACAGAGATATGGTGAAATGGGAAGAAATGGTTTCAAAGCAAAGGGGAACCAGGGAGGGGGGGGAGGGGAAAGAAGAAAAGCAAAATAATGAGAAAAGAAGGATAAAATGGAAACAAAAGTGTGTGAATAAGGCAGGGAAGAGGAGTTAAAGGAAGGGGAGGGGGCTGGGGGAGAAAAAACCAATCAAGGTAAATCAGTACAGGGACGAAATCCCCATAATGAATGTGATCATTGTATATATCTAAGCTATGCCAATAAACTTAATTAAATACAGTATAAATGAACAAATCATAAATATGTACTAATAAAAAAGTTGAAAAAATAAAATGAGAAAGATGTACAACTAAGAAATGAGTGCAGAGAATCCAGGTTTGGTCACCATATTGTGGTTGTCTACAAAAATGAGGAAGTTGAAAGTAGACAGAGATGTTTTCTAGAGCCCTACAGGCAAGTAATTACTTTTGAAAGGCTCGGAAAGAGTGAGTTAATTGAGATGGAGGAATGAACAAATATCTCTTCCTATCACTTACAGCTCTTGATCAATACTCTTCAAATCTGAGAATGTGCTTTCTGTCAATGTCTTCATCATTTTACTTACAGTTTTCTTTTCTTGTAGCTGACTTTTGGCTCTTTTGTCCCTGTGCTCAGTGACCATGATCAGTTTTCCTCTGTCTATCAGATGTCCCCCAAAGACACATCTCTAGGCCTTGGCATGGTCTCACTGATGCTTCATTTCAGCTGGACATGGGTGGGACTGGTCATTGCAGAGAGTCAGAAAGGTCTTCAGTTTCTGTCAGACTTGAAGGAAGAGATGGACAGGAACGGAATCTGTGTAGCATTTGAAAAAATGATCTCAAGCACTGCCATGCTACATTTCTTAAATAGACCAACACATGACTTATGGACCCGAGAAACATCACCAGCAAATGTGGTTATCATGTACTTTGATCCTAGTGAAAGTGATGCTGGATTTTATACGGGGCAACATCTGGTGACGTGGAGAGTCTGGGTCACAAACTCACAATGGCATGCTGCCACCTTTGGAAAAAATTTGATAATTGATTCTTTTCATGGAACAATCATTTTCTCAAATCAGCGTGAAGAGATTTCTGGTTTTAAAACTTTTATCCAGACCGCTTCCCCTTCAAAGTTCCCAGAAGATATTTACTTCACTATGTTCTGGGCCATCAATTTTGACTGCACTTTATCTAATTTTGACTGTACTTTGAAGAACTGCCCACCCAATGCTTCTCTCACATGTCTGCCTTTAAGTCTTTTTGACCCCACCATGAATGAGGAGAGCTACAGTATATACAACGCTGTGTATGCTGTGGCCCACGCCCTCCACGAGACACTTCTTCAACACGTTCAAATGCAACCCAGCAAGAATGGAGAACAGAAGGGATTCTCCCCGTGGCAGGTAATGTTTCTGACATTGGATAGCAGACAGCGCCTTGAGGGGTCCCACAGGCATGCAAATAACACACTTTAGCATGTTTGATCCAAAACAAGAGGTTGTGCATCAGTTTCACTGTAAAGGAGCAGTAGCAATCTGAGTAGAAATGGTTATTCAGAATAAGTAGATTCTGTCAAGGGGGAAATTAAACATGAATCAATGTAAATATTTTGTATTCCACAGGATGTCAGCCTAATCTTCACCTAAAGTTTTCAGCTAAGGAAACCTGAAATTTTCCCATGAAATTGTTAACAGACAATAGGAAACGTTTTATTCCTTTACACAATTTATAATATAGGTCTGTATGTACGGAATTGGTAAGGACTCTATTGGAGATATTATTTGAATTAGTGTTGAAGACACTAGTTTTCATGTATATCCTCTAGGAACAATATGACAGAAAATGGGTGTGGGAAGCTGTCACCATACAGCTGAGGTATTTTCTGTTTGGGAACATTATTTTGTTGGTTTTTGCTGTAGCATTTTTTTTTTTCTTTTTATCTTTTCTTTTGGTACTGGGAATCAAACTCAGGACTTTGTGCTTGCCAGGCCGGTGCTTGTGCTGCTGAGCTATGTCCCTGGCCCTCATTTTTTTTATAGGTATTGATATTTTTGGTACATTGTAGTATTTTGGTTTTCCAAGGCCTTTCGCCTGTCCTACTTCCCTGGATGACTATCGAGAACTGTCATTGTAAAGCAGGCGGCAAAGACATTGAAGGACTTTCCCTGGTGGAGTTTGATCATTAAGCCTGGGGCCCACGTATTTATAAGATTCTGCATGTCTTGTAGTTGCACCGCTCTCTGAAGGAACTTCAATTCACCAATCCTGCTGGGGACCAAGTGAACATGGATGAGCAAAGGAAACCGGCTGCAGAGTATGACATTCTCAACTTTTGGAACGTTCCAGAGGGTCTTAGACTTAGAACCAAAGTAGGGAGGTTTTCCCCACATGCTCCACATGGTCAGCAGTTGTCTTTAAATGAAGATGTGATGGAGTGGGGCACAGGAATTACAGAGGTAATTTGGGTGTAATTGTACTGCTTTTCACTAATCATAAACACTGACATTGTGCTGTGAGTTTTTCCCCTTGATTTAGCTTAGAAAATGTTCATGTGAGGAAAACTGAAAGTCAGATTTCAGTTTATAATTGTCCTTACTTATCAGCTTTTTGATGAATGGGAAAATAATAAAGTTCTTACCCATATTTTGAAAAACTTTATGTATTCATATAATTTGGTAAACATGATTTTAACCCTATGAAATTTATCCGTCTAATTCTGAAGTAGGAGGTAAAAGCCCAAGACGTCACCAACACATACCTGATTTTCCTCAGACTCCCCGCTCAGTCTGCAGTGAGAGCTGTAATCCCGGATTCAGGAAATCCCCGCGGGAGGGATTGGCTGTCTGCTGTTTCTCTTGCACCCCCTGCCCAGAGAATGAGATCTCCAACGAGACGGGTAAGTGTAGGCCTTCCGCGAGATTGTCCATTGCTCATGTTATCCTGCCTGCTGCCTAGAAAGTGGAAAGTGGATGAGGAGCTCACGAAAATATAATTCCTCCTTCCTTTAGCATCTGATTTCATTATTGTAGGCATTATAATATCCAGTGTCAAAACACGCTCTGTATTCCTTGAACATTCCTTGATTCATTTTTCTAGACTCGTCAGAAGCACTATTTTCACACTACCCCATTTCTGAATAAATCCATTTTCCAAGTTTCATGTTTTTCACAGTTTTTCATATGCAGTTTTAGTAAATAACAACAGTTCCCCTTTTAAGATACATTTAGAACACATTAAATATATGGAATTTGTATTTTATTTCCTTAAGTACCTAAAACAATTTCCAGACAGTTCAAGTGCTCAGAGTTTTGAGTTTTGTTTAAAAATTAGGTGTGAATTTCATATATGAAATGACAATTGTAAGGATGACCTCAGTTAGGAGGCTTCCTGCTTCCATCAGGTGTACAGAGGCGGCAATATGCAATGACAGGCAAAAAAATTAAAGACATAAATATGCAAGAATGATTGGGAAGGTAATGAAATGCCCGGTGTTCACTAAGTGATACTGGATACAATATTTTGACATAATTTTTTCTGTGTTTTGGGGTTTTTTTAGGCAGGGTCTGTCACTGTATACAGGCTGTCCTTGAAAAACTGTGTAGCCCAGGCTAGCCTTGAACTCATGACGAGCCTCCTGTCTTAGCCTCCTAAGTGCTGCAATCACAGGCATGGACCACCACACCCAGTAAGAATAATGTTTTAAATTTCACTGAGGAAGGAATGTTAACACTGTATCTGATGAATGAGGGGGACATAAATTCTTATCAGTGTCAACAGAAATGTCAAAATGGAACATTTCCACTTATATAATATTCATAGTAACTAATCTAAGGTTCAATGGTGTGAAAACACTCAAAATAGGAAGTATTTGGGACATGGAATACAGTGTACAGAAAACCAATACTGAAGATTTTACGTATGGTAATTACCATATTATAAAAATTTGAATTTGTTACATTAAATCATAACAGGTGGCAATCACTTCTCTGCTTAGACTTTTCCATTATGTTTTTGGTCATCGATATGTGACTTTATTTCATCTCACTGTATAATTTCAATATTTTGTAAATGTGCCAAAATTAACAATATGTTATAACAAAGTTAATTTTCAAACTATATCTAGAACATTTATGTCTTTGTAGAATTTTTTCTTATTGATTTGGTATACAATAGCTTCATTATATGTATCATGTGTACACATAAAAGTACACCCAGCAACATTTCTTTTATGTTTGAATAAGTGAAATTCTTAACATCATGATTCCTAGAAAAGAAATTAGTGGAAATTACAAGCAGCTGAAACTGAAAATAGTATTCATTAAACCTTGTGGGTTGAAGCTGAAATTATCTTAGGAGACATATATGTGTATATACTTTATTACATGTGTGTGTGTTTATGCAAGATAAACTGAAGTTCTTCACCTGAAATATTCAACACAAAGAAGAAATCAAAGAGGAAATGAAACAATGACAATGGAAGATAGAAAATAACAGAAACAAAAAAACATAAACGACACAGAAAACAAAATTCAATTAATTGTAGTAACAAAATAATATTCATAGTCCCTCATAAAACTGTGCAGGAGATCAACTGCAAAATATAAGAACACTGAAAAAAGACACATCTAAAGAAACCCCACCACAGCATTTTGTGAGATGGTATAAAATACTCCATTCAATGTACTTGAAAAAGTGAATAAAATTAATGAATGTACAGATAAATACTGAACAAAATTGTTCAAAATACCACAGTTACCTAAAAAGTGGAACCTATCTGCTATTTTTTCTTACTGTTTTCATGTTTCTTGAGAGTTTTACTGGTCAATTTTATAAACATTCAGGAGAGTACCATTAGTAAATTACTCAAACTCCATTAGATGCATAGGAAATGGGAAAATCTATGCATTTTATGATGAAACTTGAACTATGCTACACGTGTGACATTAGAAAATCGAACAGCAGAAGGAAATTTTCTTCTTTTACATTTGCTTTGTTTGTTTGCTTTCTTCATTTCCTTTGTTTATTTATGACAGCATCTTGCCATGTAGTTCAGGCTAGCCCCAGGCTGGTGTGGTATTTGAAAGATTCCTCCTGCTTCATCCTACTGCATGCTGAGAATACAGGGGTGTGTGCCCATGCCTGGCTTTCATCTTTCCTTCCTAAGTGAAAATCACATTTAGTGTTACAATTTTTGCTATAGATGAAGGAGGCCACAATATAAGCAAAGTTTGCTTACCAGATATAACTCAAGGCACTAGATTCTAGAAAAAAACATAAGGAATGTCAATGAATGATGTAATATATTAAGAAATTGAAAATCTACAATTTATAAATAGATGACGATATTTTACTAAAATAAGACTGGAAAGAAACTTTGCTAGTGTTGCCAAATGTTTACAGAATAATTCAGTGTGGAAAAATAACATGAGAGAGGAGAGCTTCATTTCAACATTTCTGCCATATGGTCTGGTGGAGACACCAACCAATACAATAATGTCAGGGAAAGAAAACAAATCAACAGGTATTGGGGAGGAAAAACAAAGCAGCATTATCCTGCAAGGATAGAAGTGCGCAAGTATCAAACAGGCGAATTAATTAAGGGAACTGACTGCTGCTTGAATGTCAGATTAATGTTCAACAACTCTTTGTTCACGTCACTCATAATTGAGAATTTGAATTTCAGAAAATATTTATTATTTTATAAATTATGAGATATTTACAGATATATTGTAAAGTTCTCAAAAGTATATACAACACCTATATAACAGAAAATTTCAGAAAATATTTATTATTTTATAAATTATGAGATATTTACAGATATATTGTAAAGTTTTGAAAAGTTTATGCAACACCTATATAACAGGAAAAGCATTAAAAACAATAAAACCAGAATGAAGGGTTAGATGATTATTTCTGGGTCAAAAGGGTCAATAATTATAAGATGTTACTCCTTGAGACAGTTCTACTGTTATTGTTCAATTACAGGCAAAATTCACTATGCTTTGTGGCAAAACCTACAAATATTCAGAGAACTTACTGCACCTCGTAGAGTGTTATGGCACGTATTTATTTCAGTGGGACTTAGAAAATGTAGCTGAGAGTGGATTTCCGGTGAGTGCTCCCTCACTGAATGAGTGCCTAGGTTATTGCTTACACAGATGTAGTATGGGCAAGTAGATCGTTGAGGAGAATTGAAATTTTTTCTCAAGAACATTCCATGAAAATAGAGAAAAAATTGTAGCACTGTTTAGTGCTTGAAAAGAAAAAAAGCAGTATTGCTTTGGAATTTGGGGGTATACAACAACACAAGAGGATAGTTTGGCTGAACGAGTCCAGTGGGGAGTTTTGGGGGAAAATGTGAATAATTAATGAATTAGGAATTACTGAACTGGCACTGAGAAAAATTTTCATTTTTGGCTAGATAAGGAGCAGTGTTTGAGGTGTCCAGATCACCAATATGCCAACGCCCACAGAAATTGTTGCCTCCCAAAAGCTGTCACTTTTCTGGCTTATGAAGATCCCTTGGGGAAGGCTCTGGCTGGCACTGCCCTGAGTCTCACTGTCCTCACAGCTGCTGTTCTTGGGCTCTTTGTGAAGCACCGACACACTCCCATCGTCAAGGCCAATAACCGTGCTCTAAGCTACATCCTGCTCGTCTCCCTCACCTGCTGCTTCCTCTGCGCCTTGCTCTTCATTGGCCGGCCCAGAACCACCACCTGCATCCTGCAGCAGACCTCATTTGCAGTCGTGTTCACTGTGGCTGTTTCCTCCGTCTTGGCCAAAACCATTACTGTGGTGCTGGCCTTTAAGGTGACTGCTCCAGGCAGAAGGATGAGGCAGCTGCTCGTATCGGGGGCTCCCAACTCCATCATCCCCATCTGCTCCCTGATCCAACTCACTCTCTGTGGAGTCTGGATGGGGACAAATCCACCCTACATTGACACAGACGCTCACTCTGAACATGGCCACATCCTCATCGTGTGCAACAAGGGCTCCCTCACTGCCTTCTACTGTGTCCTGGGATACCTGGGCTCCCTGACCCTGGCGAGCTTCACCGTGGCTTTCCTGGCCAGGAACCTGCCTGACACATTCAATGAAGCCAAGTTCCTGACGTTCAGCATGCTGGTGTTCTGCAGTGTGTGGGTCACCTTCCTCCCCGTGTACCACAGCACCAAGGGGAAGGTCATGGTGGCCATGGAGGTCTTCTCCATCTTGGCCTCTGGTGCAGGGCTGCTGGGCTGCATCTTTGCCCCCAAGTGCTACATTATTTTGATAAGATCAGATAAGAATTCTCTGCCTGGGTTCAGAGATAAAACGCATTCTGATAGAAAGAAACCTTTCTAAGTGCAAAAGTATTTTTATTCTAAAATGCACAGTGGCTCTGTACCACACCTGTACCACTGTTTTCAGTGACATATTACATTCCAGCCTGAGGTTTACTTCAATTATCGGTGGACTCATTTCTCTCTGCAATCTGAACATCACTAGCTCTTGTAACAATTACCTTTTCTGTGTAATCTTAGTTTGAAAAATTTTTATTCCTGTCATAAAATCTGTAATAAATTCTTATGTTTGTCCCTGTGTTCAATGAAGTTACTCATTTGTATCTCGTACACCAATTGGCTTTCTCAACCATTTTTACTCATTGTTCATGTGACAATTTTGTCTGTAGATCACCATATGTCAGAATTCTCTGATACATTTTATTTTATTTTTCCACTTCAAAAGTTATTATGCCCTTAATATGCTGATTATGTTTTAATTCAATAAATTATTTCATATGTCTTTGTTCACCCTTGCCTGTCAATATTCCTGAAGCTATATAAAAATGAGTTTATACATTTCTGAATTGCTCTGAATTATTAATCAATATATGCTCAAACTAATTTTGATTTAAATGAAATTTATAATTTTTTCAATAGTTTTGATGTTTAGACATTTTATTATTAATATGAAATACTTATTACCAGAAAAAACTTTAATTTTTCAGGGTTTTCTGAAAATTTGTAAGACTTTTATGAAGCTATTAGAATTAAGTATGTTTGCATGTACTTTGAATGATTTGGCAAATGTTCTTTTTAGTACCATGCTTGTTGGATTTTTAAGTTTATGTATGCACTCAAATATGTTTGTTAAGTGAAAGGAGAACCTGGATGGAAAGCTAGACTGGTGGACAGAAGACTGGGGAGATGGACTGGATAACATCAAAGGCTGAAGACTGACAGAAGCCCAGGGAGAAAGGAGTGGAAATTGGAGGGGAAGAGAACACAAAATTTACAACAGAGAGCTGGTGATATAGCTCAGCGGCACAAGCACCTGTTTGGAAAGTGCAAGGTCCTGAGCGCAATTCCTGGCATACACCAAAAACAACAACAGAGAAGAGGAGAATTTTTACAATTTCATATAGCTGTTAAATTTTTCCATTGTATTCTATTAAAATGTTAATAAATTTAAAGTTGAAATATATTTAATCACTGCACTCTCTGGTCTAAACCTAGAGAACTACAACTTTCCTTGTTTTTTGATGAACCCTGCAGAGTCCTCACCCTAAGTCCTGGTCTGGCTGAATCATCTGTGGCAGATAAATGTCATGTTACAAAGACATTTCTTTTCCATTCTCTTACTCATCTCTATTTTGTCAGTGTGAAAAGTCAAGCCCATCATTTGCCTTTAAATAAATATTTGATTATATTTTTCTCATCACAGTTTTTAGTCTTTTGTTTTTTTTCTGGTCTTTTTTTGAGCCAGGTTCTTGCTATGTGGTTCAGGCCAGCCTTGAGCTCACCCCACCAATCACATCTCCTTTCTTATGCACACTGCTTTTTCATTTTGCAAAGGCAGGTGACATGGCTCAGGTTGGCAGGCTTCAAAGGAAACACTGTGAATGGAGGCTGCAGGATAAGTAAGATAGTAATCTGGGGTCCATCTTGGATTTGTCCCCAAGACCACATCTGTGTGGAGTTAGAACTTGCAGTTTCACTCAGAAAAATCCACATGTGAGGTGTGTCTGTATATGTCGTACTGTTGTGAACTTGGATAAACATTTCAATTCCCTTTCCCACACTCCGCTGGAGAAATAGTCACTTCTTCCTGCCTTGTGGCTGTGCATCTGATGGCTTATTTCCAGGTGACAAATACAGATTAAAAAACATGTTGATGAGAGGTGTCGTGGTGCACACTTGTTGCCTAAGATCCCTGGTAGATGAGGGAAAGTTTGTTTCCCTCCTGGTGGAGAGGAGAAGCAGCCTGTTCTTCCTCACCCTCTGCTCTCCAGTCTCCACACTGCCTCAGAGAACCAGTCTTTCTCCTCAGGAGGTGCTGTGCAGACCCATGTGCTAGAAAGCCTGTCTACTTATAAAAAAAGAAAGGAATACTCCCAAGTCATTTCAGGGACCTAGCATTCCAAAAACAGAGAAAGACCCAACTAAGAATGAAAGCTACAGATCAATCTCCTTTATGAACATAGTCAGAAAAATCACTAACAAGATGCTGACAATCAAAGAGCAACAAGTCTTGTGGAGGAGGTCATATGCTTATGTGACTATTGTAGACAAGAGAGAGAAATTAAAGGAATAAGGATAGGAAAGGAAAAGTGAAATTACCATTGTTCGCAGATTACATAGTACTCGACATGAAGACCCAAACCTCCACCAAAAGACTCCTAGAATTAATAAACAAATTCAATAATATCACTGGACATTCAAAAAGCAATAGCAATCCTATACACAAAAAACACTCTGAGAGAGAAATTAGGGAGACTATACCTCTCACAATAGCATTCAAAAATTGAAATACATAGGAATCAATCTAAGGAAAGAAGTAAAGGAACTATACAGTGAAAATTACAGTACTCTGAAAAAAGAGATAAAGGAGGATTTCAGAAAATGCAAAGATATTCCTTGCTCATGGATAGGACAAACCAATATTGCAAAAATGGCCATACTCCCAAAATTATTATACAGATTCAATGCATTCCCAATCCAAATACATTAGTATATCTCACAGATCTATATAAAACATTCCTAAAATTCATCTGGAGCCAGAAGAGGCCCAGAATAGCAAAAGCAATCCTGGCCAAAGATAGCAAGTCAGGAGGCATCACAATCCCTGACTTGAAAGTATACTACAAAGTTACTGTGATAAAACCAGCACAGTATTGACAAAAACACAAGACCTGAGGATCAATGGGACATACTGGAAGACCCAACCTCAACCACAAACACACTCATCCCTCTTAGCTTTGACAAATGAGACAAATATGTCTACTGGAAGAAAGATAACCTCTTTAATAAATAGTGCTGGAAAAACTGGCTTTCTACCTGCCAAAGAGTAAGACTAGACCCATGTCTATCACCATGAACTAAATTAAAGTCAAAATGGATTAAACATGTAAATATAAAAACAGAAACACTAAATCTACTGGAAGAGAAATAGGTAAAAATCTTGAAGACATAGGGGTAGGCAGAGAGTTCATGAACTAAAACAAAACTGCATGGAAAATACTTTAAAGAATCAACAACTTGAATCTCATTTCACTGAAAAGTTTTGCACTTCAAGAGAAATCACCAACAGAGTGAAAAGAAAATCCACAAATTGGGAAAAAAATGTTAGCCAACTCTGACAAAGACTTCTATACAGAACATACAAAGAATTTTTAAAAAATAAAGTCCCCCAAATCCAAAGACCCAATACAAAAAATGGGTATCTGAAATGAATATACACTGCTCAGATAAAGAAATGCAAATGACACATAAATACATGAAATAATGTTCCACATAGTCATTTGAGAAATACAAATTAAAATGACACTGAGATACCACCTCACCCCAGAAAGAATAGCAATCATCAAGAAATCAACCAATAACAAATGCTGGTGAGGCTATGGGGAAAAAGGAACCCTTCTCCACTTTTGGTGGGAGTGTAGACCCGTGAAACCACTATGAAGATCAGTCTGGAGATTCCCCAGTAGACTAGGACTAGTGGTCCCATTCAACCCAGTTATTTCCCTTTAGGGTATTTTTCCAGAAGAACTAAAAACATCATACCACAGCAATGTGTGTGCTGCACAATTTGTAATAGCTAAATAGTAGAAGGAACCCAAATGGCAATCAACTGAGGAATGGATAAAAAAAGATGAGGTATTTTTACATAATGGAATATTACTCAGCTATAAAAAAGATAAACTAGAGGCTTATATAGGTAAATGGATGCAGCTGGAGACCATACTCATAAGTGAAATAAATCACACTCATATATGTAAACACCATGTTGTCTCCCTAGTGTAAGAACCTGAAAGAGTAAATAAAATCTGAAAGGTACTATAGATACTGTGAAAGGGAAAGAAACTCCTTGAGAAGAAAGAACAACTGAGATCAAGGAAAGGAGAAAAGAAAGAAAGAAGGAAATAGAAAATTATATATACACATACACAAGATCGTTATGGCAATTGTACTACTAATTTCTATTGGATTACTGAAAAGAACAGTTAATGTTTAATGGTTTGACCTTACATGCCTATATCTGGTTATCTGAGAAACCAATTTGAAGATAACAACATTTAATACAACAACAATTGTTAATTTCCTATCAACTTGTTTGAAATTCTATATCATTTTTATTGTTTTTGTGTTGTTTATGTTTTTGTGTTCGTTAATTTGTTTTTGTTTCTTTCTCTTTAAAATAAAAATGCAAAAGAAGACTATGTTGTTATTTGTCTTGTATGTCTAAATTTTAAAAGTTACATGATTTTCTAAAGACGTTTATCTTGATGCTACAGAGTAGATTGAGAGGTGTCTTCATGAATTTTCTTAGAATGCATGATGGGTGGAGAACATTCTTCTTTAAAGGCAAAGTGGAAAGAATAGATACACTTCCATCATGTTTAAATATGATCTGCATTTCCAGTTGTGGCTTTATAAATGATCAAAAACATTTTCTGTCTGTTTATTCCACTAGATCGTATGGACCATGTTCTGGACTATAAAGGTAGATGGTAATAACGGGGAAGTATGACCTCAATGAGCATGAGAAAGTTCTAAATTTGAGTTAAATATTCTTAAATAAAACAAGTACTTGGTTTATTGGTAAATGGAAATTTTTAATACAATACAGGTTCAACTGTTCATGGAAAAATTATTCTTACCACCTCTTAGGAATGCATGTTAAGAAGATGACTTCTGTGTCATGCACCTATCTTTCTCATACCAGAGAAGCTGAGGCAGGAGGAGAACCACAACCAAGGAGTTGGAGTTAGCCTTGGGAATATAAAGAGACTGTCCCTGTCTTAACCATTAAAATATATATAGTGAGCAAACCACTTCATATTGAAACATTACATAATAATAAAAATCCTTGCTTTGTTACAGAAAAATCCTAAAGTTCTTCTTTTTTCTTGTAGAAAGGCACAAATGATTTTCAAGCTTTGCTGAAGAGGCTGAATGAGCTCACTTTGTATTTTGGTAATTTTGCAGTATTACATGTGTTCTGTGGACCACTTGCACATAGTAGGCATTTTTTTTTTTTGTTGTTGTTTTTTGTTTTTTCTCCGGTACCGGGAACCGAACTCATGACCTTGCGCGTGCCAGGCAGGCGCTTTTGCCGCTGAGCTAAACCCCCAGCCCCAGTAGGCATTTTGTTGTAAGAAGGTAATGTGAGTAATAAAATAGGTAAATAGGCAGATGGGTAAATAGATAGGAATCAGTTTTGAAGATAAAGATTAGACATTTCACATCATGAGTATTTTTTTAGTTTTCCACAAGATAACTTTTAGGAAAAAATTCATGAAACAACTATCTATCGAATAAGATCATTCGGTAACATTTGGTTATGCATGGTGAACTGACATTACTGAAGACCATTAAGGAAGATATACAGAACAGCTCAATAAAATGTTTCAGGGGGGAAAAGTTACTTTGCTTGGTTCTGAACGTACCTTGAGTACCGCAAATTTACACGGAAGGAGCAGCAGGCTGGATGTCTGAGGGTGAACAATTTTGAAGTGGAAGAATCAGGGTGAAACACTGATTCTGGGTAGACCAACCAACAGGATTCTTGAGGAAGACAAGCCAAGGTGACGAGACATCCTCTCTGAGGTGGTGGGAGATGAGGGGCCTCGTCAGATAACAAGGGTCGTTGGATATAAATGATGGGCATTCTTTATAAACTGCCTTGGGTTCTTCTAGATCTGGATCTGACTATGAAGTATAGGTGGGCCTGAGACAAGTTTCAGAAGTCTGACAAGCTGCACTGAGCAGAGTGTGTTGGTCACGCCATGCCCGTTTCTAAGTGTATGCAGTTCAGTAATGTGGTGGCTTTTACTGACTGTGAGGAGTCAGTCTCCAGAACTTTTTCATCTTGCACACTGAGACTTTTCCATTTCCCTTTCTCCAACCCCTGGTGGCCACCATTTTACTTCGTTTTCTCATAGATTTGGACACCGCAGACAGCTCATACAAAGCTATCATATAGAGTTTGTCATTTGGTCGCTGGTATATTTTAACTAGCATGATATCTTCAAGTTGTATCCATGGCATATGATGGGTTACAATTTATAGCTCATTAAAGGAATAAATTTACCACCATTTCAATCCCCTCAAAAAACAACACAAAGAATGAGGTACCATGTACTCTTCATGACAGCTATGCAAGGATCGAAAAAGAGAAAAGGACTGATGGCAAACAAAATCAATGGTGACTGTGGAAAATATTCCTCTAAGTGAAAGAAACCACACACAAAGCCCTGTACTTTGTGGCACTGTTTCTGTGGAAGGTGCAGAGTGGATAAATCCCAGAGGTGGAACATTGGTGTTTGCAGTTGATTGGCGAAAAGCTTCATGGGAGGGTAAAATAGTGGTGGTGACTCCACCACATAGCGAGCAGAGTAAGAAGTGGGGATACGTTAATTTTTAAACAAGTCAGCTTTAGGGTGTGTGAATTATGCAACAAAAATTGGTAGGATATTTTACCATGTATTTATTTACCATTTGTATTTCTTCCTGTGAGATGTGGGTACTCATCTCTGATGCCCATTTTTTGATTGGGTCTTTAAATTTGGGGCTGTCTGATTGTTAAAATTCTTAATATGCTCCCGATTTAAGTCCTTTGTCTGAGGGACAAGTGACCAAGATATTTTCCTCTCTGTGGGATGTCTTTTCATTCTGTTGATTTGTTTTGCTGTGCAGACGCTCTTTAATAGGAAGAGATCCCAGTTGAATCTTTATATTATTTCCCATGGAATTTGGGTTTTGGTCATGAAATCTTTGCTTACACCTATGTCTTCAAGATTTCTACCTATTCTTTCTTCCTACAGATTTAGACGTCTGTTTTAATATTTAGATGTTTGACCCATTTTGACTTTAGTTCTGTGCATGGTGATAGACATGGTTCTAGCTTTCATCTTTGGCATGTGGAAAGTGAGTTTTTCCTGCATCGTTTATTAAGGAGGCTCTGTGTATTCCAGTCAATGTACTTGGCCTATTTGTGAAAGATGAGGTGGTGTTTGGTGTTGTTTCTGCATCTTCTAACCTGTTCCACTGATCCTCAGGTCTGTTCGACAGCACTAGAGAGATGTAAGTTAAGACAACGCTGAGATTCCATCTCTCTGCAGAAGGAATGGCTATCATCAGGAAATCAACCAATAACAAATGCTGGAGGGGCTGTGGGGAAAAGGGAATCCTTCTCCACTGTTGGTGGGAAACTGGTGCAATCACTGTGGAAATCAGTGTGGAGACTTCTCAGAAAACTGGGATTAGACATCCCATCTGATCCAGCCACTCCCCTTCTGGATATCTCCCAGAAGAATTGAAAGCATCATACCACAGCAATATATGCACACTCAGCTTTACAGCAGCTCAATTTGTAATACTAATTCTTGGAAGCAACCCAAATGACCATCAGTTGAGGAATGGAAAAAGATGTGTTTTTTATAATACAGTGGCGTATTACTTGGCTATAAAGAATGACAAACTTGAGACATTTCTAGGTAAATGAATGCACCTTGAGAACATACTGTTTCGTGATATAATTGGACTCACAAAAAGAAATATCACATTGTTTCTCTGGTATAAGATACTGCATGTGCAAAGTAGGAACAAAGTATATAAAAGGTATTGTGAAATACAAAGAAAATGTTCAAAAGAAAGTCGAACTAGGGAGAGGAAGGGGAGAAGGAAGGAAGGGAAAGAGTCCATACTGTTAAATGAAAGAAATCAGACACACGTGTTTAAATATCACATTATTTATCTAGGGGGAGAAACTAAGAGTAAATAGGGAACAAAATATACAGCAGATGCTGGGAAAAAAGAAGAATATATTTAAATGGAAAGAGGAACAGGAATAGCAGAGCAGGAGAGGAAGAAAGGAAACGAAAGAAAATAGAAACAAAGCTTTTGTAAATAAGGAAGGGAAGAGAGATTGAAAGGTGGAAGGCAGTTCATGGAAAAAAGAAAAAAACAAGAAATATCATGCACAGGTACAAACTTCCTCTAGTGAGTATGATCAGTGTGTATATAGAAAACATACCAATAAAGTTTATGTAAAAATTAGTGGGGGAGCAAGACAGAGACAGAGACAGAGAAAGAAAACGGCAGAGATGAGTCTTTAACATTGGGTTATAAGGCCTATCTTTAATGTTTCACTTTTTCCTGGCCTACAGACTCCTGGGGAGATAAAGTTCACAAATTGAGAGCCAGGATTACCTATTCAGTGCTCATCTGCAACACACAAGGCTCAGCACCACCCTCAGATGACCTGCTATTGGCAAAGAAGAAAGGCAGGAGAATGGTGGGTACAGTTTCATGGTGCAAAGGGGAAGGAAAGTCTTGATGAGAGCTCATTGCTGTGCTTGTGAGCACTTAAGACAGATGCACTATCACGGAGGTGTCATACATGGTGGATGACATGGTGCATATGTGAGGTCCCTCCAATTATTCCTGAATTACCAGCAGGGGAAAGTTGTCAGGGCAGACTTGAGCCTTAGGGGTTGACAGCTTCCCAGGTATACTAGTATAGAATTTAGGGCTGGTTCTAAATGTACTGATCCATTTATCCACACATCTATCCTTTCATAATATAATCTGGGAATCAACAACTGTGAATTCTTCAATTTTAGTATTCTTTATTCCTGGCTAGGTTACCTAAAACTGAGAAAAATTTCATCATTCTGTTTAGAATAGCTCGCTAATATTTTAGTGGTATGACACTGAATCTGTTGATGTAGTTGGGAAGACTGGATATCATAAAGACACTATGCCTATTGGTCACTAACAGGGCATAAACTCCATCGATGTACACTCGGTATCCTTTATCATAACACTTTTCCTAGTTTGCCACACCAAATTTTATATGTATTTTCTGGGGCATATCTTTCTTTCCATGCTTTCCTTTTGTTCTCACTTATTCTTTGCATTATGCAAGTTATCATTATTATTTCAGACCCCAGCCATTCGTGGCTGGTAGATAGGATAACAGCTTAGTGCACACAGTGACTGTGCAACTTGACTTCTGGTTGTCGCCATCATTCTTCATCAGTGCACAGGAAAATAGGCAGAATTTCTGCCTGAATTTCCTTATTTATGACATGGAATAATCTGAACACTAAATTTATCAATCCATGTAGACACCCAGCAACTAATATGCATGGCCTCTGCCTATACATGAACTCATTCTATCCTGATGCACATCCTCACAGGCAGCAGGGGACACGCATGTGAACTGGCATATTCTACACTGGGGCACACAGGAGTGCTCTGCCCAGTGAAGGCACAGCACATCCACCAAGGACAAAAACTTTCTCTCCTCAAGATGCAGCAGAAGAGGCCCAATGTCTTCTATGCAACTTGGGAGTCAGCGGGTGGGCAGGAAATAGCCAATGTCTTCAGTGATGCTGGTCAAGGAGGAGGCTCTGTCCAGGCTTTCTTCCAGATGATGTTCCATGGAGTGCAGAAGAGTACTTCTGATCACACATTCTCCTCTGTTCTGGTACGTGTCTTATCATACTGGAGAAATTGTTAAAAACAGTCATTTACTGAGTGATTTCCTGGATTGGTGTCCCAACGTACTGTAATATACTTATGAATTTAGGAACTCAATTTATTTTTCATGGCACGGGAGACTGAGTACAAGGTCTTGTTTAAGTTCAACATGTACTCTCAGTTAACTACTTCCTCAGTCATTTAAAATGTTATTAGGAGCCAGAGTCTTACATGGGGTCCTCCTGTTAGAAAGATTAGGCATATTGGATCAGGCTCTGCCCTAATGACTTCATCTTAATTTCTCAAGAAAACCTATTTTTGAGTTAGATCACATTCTAAAGTAGCAGCCTTCAGACCTCAACATTACACTTGAAGCACAGTTCAATCCATATAACAGTCTGAACCAAAGTTGAGAAGGTTTGAGTTTGACAAGTCGTATATTTATTTGGAGGATGCAGCAGTATTCTCAATACGTCTGTGCTTTTACTGGGTACAATGTGCAATGTCCAGGTTAAGGGACATAAAAGTTTTTCATTTAAGAATATCTTTATTCAATGTATTAAACCCAATAGGTTCAATATGTTATCCTTCTATCTATTTATGATAAACATTAAAGACTCATTATCTTACAACTTTTTAAACTCTGAAGATTTTGCACTTACATCCCAACTTTATTTTGATTAGCTACCTTTCAAATGCTAATGAGATCAACATCTTCCCAAAAGAATAAATATTTTCTCACAGTTTATATACTTTAATTTTTATTTTTATTTATTTATTTTTATTTTATTTTTTGGTTTTTCTCCGGTACCGGGAACCGAACTCACGACCTTGCGCATGCCAGGCAGGCGCTTTTGCCGCTGAGCTAAATCCCCAGCCCATACTTTAATTTTTAAAGTTTATCCTTACAGAAATCAGTGTTTACTTCCATCTTTGACAGGGCAGCTATTGCTATCCTGTCAGAGTTTATAAGGTAATATGAACACTTATACAATAAGTAAAGTCTAAGTGCACATTGAGGCCCACTCTTTGTTCTGGTGATTTAGATACTGACAAATACAAGATGGTGTCCTTTGAATTAATACAGCATTATTTAATCTACCTGCAATAAAAATTCCACTGAGTTTTGGGGCTGTAAATGTTGCCTGCATTTCCTTGCTCCGCAAAAATTTGAGTGATGGGAAATACAGAAGTCATTTGCAGCTTTGCTCCTTTGCTTCAGGATGACGGAAAAGAGAAATTTGCCAAACAGACTCATGTTCTCAGAAAAGCCTAAATCCTGGAGGAACTCAAGGTTGTAGGAGTAGAAATAGATTCTGACAATATGTTGAATAGTGGAATGAAGATACTTGAAAGAAGGACGCAGCAGGGAAGTGGGCTAAATTACACAACTCAAAAGGGCATTGCATTACTGCTCTGATGCTCAGTCACTAACTTGGGTTTCCCAGCTGTAATGCAATCATTTGTACCCCAAGCACTGGAGAGCATGTGCGGCTGTAAGTTTCAGCACATGTGCCTGGTACACAGAAAACACGGCTATACAGGGAGAGTTCTGTGGCTCCAACTCAAAATCTTCCACTTTGGAAGGCACTATGTCCAATATTTTCTGCCTGACCTTTTGGATTTTCAGGCTATTTCAAGAGAACCCTAATATTAAATTCTCTAGTGCAATCCATTTAGCAACACCTCTAATGTCATCTGTAACCATGGCTTATTGACAAAGACTTAGGAGCAAATCTGCCCAGGAGGAGGTGGCCCCTGGGATGTTGCTATCAGTGGAACTAGATGAAATCATGGTGGCTCCAGGTGAAGAAAATGATATGGGAACATAATTTCTGTCTTGTGTTTTTCTCTTGGACTCTAGACCTCAGGTGTAGAGCCCAGGGGCAGTGGTGGCAAACTTCTCCAGGGACTGGACAAGGCACTGCTGACAGGAGCCGGGGCATCAGAGTGTCCACCTGAGTCAGAAACAACCTAATTCTGAATCACACACACATATTTATTTACCTGGCTGTCACTGCAAGTTTCCTCTTCACTCAGCCTAAATCTTTGCATATGTATCTAAGATGTTCATTTTGATTGCTATGTTCATTCTCCTGCAGCTTCCTGCTTTAGTGTGTACTTTAGATAATGAAGCCTGCCTTCGTCAAAGGAGCACCAGTGTGCAAAAGGATGGAGACGTGGTGATTGGGTGTTTTTTGTCTCTTTATTTCTATATCTACTATACTGCAATCTCTGTAATAAAGCCTACTAGCGAATTCTATTACTTTCCATAAGTGTCTTCCTCATTCACTGGTTTTCTTTCCAGACATCAGGGTAGATAATGGCTACTGATCCATATTGCATCAACATTCTCTACAGTGCCACCTGTCCTGTCCCCGCCCCCGACATGTGCACAACAGGCCTGCTGATGAGTTTTGCCTCTTTTTATACTTGAGAATGAGGGAAGAGAACATTCTTTTCATGTATTTGTGCTTCTAGCATCTCTCTCTCAGTCTTGGAACCTGAGAGGAACCCCACTCTCCACCATATTCCATGGTGCATGACCTTACTGCATGGCAATAGGTGATGTTCTGCATCTCAATTGAACCCTGTGGATTAATGGAACACTAAGAGCCTATTGCCAAATATTCCCTAAGAAAATGAAGGGTTTGCTGTTTCTCTATTTCTCTAACTATAAGCTTCCTTATTTTATTATTGATTATTTGCTGATATTTCTACCCCTTCTGCTTGGACAATCTTCTTCCTGTAATCATTCAGTTACTATTTCAAATACACTTTAGGGTGCTCCAGGACTCCTGCCACTGCAAGGTGAGCCCAGAATAAGTGTGAATCCTGTGTGAGACTTTTCCCCACCAACGTGTTTCTTCCTCAGTTAGATGCGTGTATCTTTTCTCTATTTGGTACTATCTTATCAGGTCTCACGCTAGACACAGAATTAAATAGTGAATTTTCCAAAGTGTCTGAGAAGTCTAGCAAATGGCTTGTGGTTTTGTGAGAAAAGGAGGGATCAGTGGAACAGTGAGTAACTGAATCTTACAGAAGATGCTGACCCACAGTGTTCTCATGGCGGCTACCCATAAGAAGGGTTAAAATTTAAAACAGAAAGATCTTTGTTGGTCATACACAGTGCCACAGCCTTGTTCTAAAGATTACACATTAGGATATTTTATGCACATCCTGACATGAGTAGAAAGTCACTGTTAGCCTGGCCAGATCCCAAGGAGTTTCTTTCTCACCTGTCTAGAAGATGCAGATGTTTGATCTGTCAGGTACTTGCTCAGTTTTGGGGTGTTACAGACTCTCGCTTCTGGTCATGCACAAAGTTTGGACACTGTCGCTTTTGTGTCAGCTGGTATTTAAGGGGCCTCACTGGTAGGAGAAGTGTGGGATCTCATCTGTGGAGAGGACACTCTGCCCAGACCCTTCCCAACCGGAACCCTGAAAACCCTATGAAGGGACATTCAGAATTGGAATTGGGACTCCAGGTGTGGAAGCTCTTCCAACCTGGTGATGTAACCATCTCTGTGCTTTCTCTTTCTTCTGTGTAATCATGTATGTGTTGACTACTAGTTTATTCAACTTTGTTTTATTATTTTTAAGCTGGTGATCGAGGCATTTGTTATTACACCTTGGATGTGTGTTTTTCTTCCATCCTTTTCTCAAATGCGTGTTACAGATGTGCTTAATATAAAAAGCTAGATTCTGAGATCCACTACTGAGTGTTTCTTGTTGGTGACTGATCAGAACTAATTTTGAGTGCTCGACTCAGAGAACTGTGCTCAAAATCTCCTAAACCCTGTGAGATGATTAATTACTTATATCACCTACTGAAAATTATAAGAAGGATTTTATTGGATCGGGACATAACCCTCAGCATGAAATACACTGAAATGTGATTTGTTTGGGGAGGTGGATTCTTAATGGTGGACAGGCTCATGTGTGCTGAGAGCTAATGAGTAGCATGGAGCGGGGACAGTGAGGGAGTCTGGTTAATGCCCTGAGTGGATTCTAACTGAAGACAGCCCGGTGTGATCAGACATCAGCTGAGTATAGTAGGTGATGAGAACATGGTGAGATATCTAGCATTATCAAATTCCAAAGACAGTTCAGCAAGGCAGGGTCTATTTCTGTTCCTCAGAGGAGAGGATGATCTGCCTACTCTTCTTTGTCCTCTGCTGTCCCCACATACGATCAGATAATCAGGGTCCACCTAAAGCAGGTGGCCCTGCTTTAGAGCCCTGCACCCTGAGCTCTGTTGGGGGCAGAAAAGAACACACTTGCAATTCAGAGTTTCCGTGTGCAAGGTGATGTAGCCACAAGGAGAAGTGTTTAGGGCTTCAGGAGCGAATTTTCATTCCTGCTAAAATGAGAAGGAAAAAGGAAAGAACTTTTGGAAAATACGTGCTAGTTATTATGCCTGCGTGATTTATATCCTTCAACTTATCAAAGTTAATTCTCACCCATTTAGGGGTGTTCCACATTATCTAATTAATTTCTCCTGTCATTTAAGAAGGGCAATAGGTCTGTGATACTTAATGTTTCTGATTAAAGCTAAAGAATGCGGAAGAGTAAAATGGATCTGCTCAAAGTTTTACATTCTTTAAATTATCTTATGCATATCACCAAACTACACACTGCAACAAAATAATGGGCATTTTCTTACAACCCCCTCAGGGAAGAAATATTTCCTCAACCTTTACATTGGGCACCAGGCCTAAGGTGAAGTCAAACAACTGGCATCATGTTGCTCTATGGGCAAAACCTGTATTAGCATTTGGATGGATCGTATTGTATGCATTATCTTCAGATTATCATATTTTGTTTCATCCTTCATCAATTTTTTATCTTAGGAAAGTCCTTGGAATTTGTAAAAAAAAATGTTTGTATATTAAGGACCAGAAAATATTGTTGACCAAGCATTTTTAGAATGATTTCATAGGCGATTAGCTTGTTGTAAATATTTTCACATAAATCATGCTTAACCAGAAAAAGATATGAGCATCTAGCTTGGAAAAAACACTCATCATTTGCCTTTACATTTTTCCTATTGGCAATGCATCTCAATGTATAATGCTGAAAACACTTGTGTTAACTTTATTACTTTAATATTCTAAAACATTATTTAGTGTTTCTGGAATTTATTTTGTGATCAATGTGTGTACTCACTTATTTCAGTTTTCACAATAGCTTACTTTTTACTATGAATAACACAATTTAATATTTAATGAATTTGTATACAAATCTTGTGATAAAAACAATAGATGATAATCAGACAGATTCGGTAGAGAAACAGATAGATAGATATAGACACATAGATGGATATAAAAGGATAATTACTTTTTTCCTAACCTGTTCCATTGATGTATCTATTAGTTGCTTTTTTCTCTGAATAGCACGCTCCTTTCATGTTCTGAAACAGTTTCACTACTTTCAGAGATTTCATAAATTTCAGAGCACTTGTGTAACTTTTTTTTGGTTTTTCTCTGGTACCAGGATCTGAACTCATGACCTTGCACTTGCCAGGCAGGCGCTTTTGCCGCTGAGCTAAATCCCTTGCCCCTAGAGCACATGTGTAATATTTGTCTCTGATACAAAAGCCTCTCTTGTAATGTTTCTGAGCAAGGGCAACATTGATAGAATTTTTATATTAACATTTATAAAATATTCTTTTTAGTACGTTTATGTCTTTGCTTGAATGCTAATGTTCTAAAATGTCATATTCTGTTTTGTGAAGTCTATTGCTATTCTATATACATTTTTCTCAAAGGACTCTCAGTCATCAATTTTATATTGGAAATCTTTTTTTATTCGCATTTACTTAGTTTTATTTGGGACCTCCATCAGAATTTTATTTTATTTTTATGTGAATAATCTTATTCCTAAAGGAATACTCATGCTTGCTTGTCTCTTCAATTCTTTTTTTCTCCTTACTTGCTGAATATTTATTTTATGACTTAGAAACTCCAGTGCAATAGCAAGTTAATCTGATGCTAACAAAGAAATCTTGTTTTAACAACTTTTCAATTCATATGCTTCTGATATGCAGCTTCTTTAAGAAACTTCATTCCACAACATTCACAGCTGATTGCACTTTGTCAATACTACGTTCAGTTTTCTTAACTGAAATCTCGCAGGAGGGGAAGACTGAAGCAATTGTCTGTCCCATCAAACCCTGGGAGGAGGGTGAACTTGTGTTCTTGACCTTCACCCATCTTCATGTGACTCACTGCTTTGTTCTTTAAGCAAAATCTAACTTTTGACTTGAAAGTATTCCAGTTTTATTTTATTTTTATCTGTAATTTTCAAATACAATTAAATATATTCATAGATGTGGTATTATGTACTGCAACACATTTATACTACCGCATAGCTAAATGAAGTAGACTAATGAATCCATCACCCCAGTATTTCTTCACATGCATGAGTGTGAACAGCAATTCTGTTGGAGATACATTTAACCAATAATACTAAGGAAATATCTTTTTCCTGAAATAAAACATTTCAACAAAAATGGATACTTGTTAGTACTGAATACTATATGTACTTCAATAAACATTTTTTTTCTCTTTGCAAACTGTGAGGACATTTAAAAGTATCACATAATCTAAAGATCTACACAGTGTCATTCTACACACAAATTTTATACTGAATATATATAGCAAGATCATGTTAACTGTATAACAAATACGACAGAATAATGAAGCAGCTCTTCCAGGAATCTTGTAATCCCACTAAGCTCCTCCATGAGAAATTCAGCCCCATCAATCATCTAATTCCAATGACTTCCTAAAAAGTCAGTCTTTTAACATCATCATATCCATACTTGGGATGTAATTATGTGAGTGTGTGGAAAGAAAACAGCATTCAGTCTATAAATGGTACTAGACTGGATTGGAAGATGATCATTGATTGAGTCTTTTCTTGAAAGACCTCTGTGCTCTCTCTGCAGGCTGACGCCCAGCAACTACCAGAACTACCTGGCCTTTGCTTTTGCCATAGAAGAGATCAATAGGAATCCTCATCTTTTACCCAACATTTCTCTGGGCTATGAGTTCCATAATTTCATTAGCAGTCATTGGATGATGCTAGAAAATTCCTTCATTCTGCTCACAGGACAGCATGAAATCCCTAATTACACGTGTAAGACAGAAAGCAAATGTGTGGCAGTACTGACGGAAATGCCATGGGATACCTCGGCTCAGATTGGACCACTGCTGGAACTCTACAAATGTCCACAGGTGAGGCTTGGAGGGACAGGAAATAATGGAAGCACCTCCATGGTGCTTCAACTACCAGGAGCATGAAGGGTTAAAAATGAGACTAGGACATGCAGCTTTCAAAGTGTATAATGCACCAGGATCCGAACACAGAGACAACAGGTTACACAGAATTTATTTTCTTTTTCTTTTCTTTTTTTTTTTTTTGACCAAAGAGGAGGAAATAAGGAAAGAAATGTTTCAGGAATGTATAAGTACATTCATTCCCTTTAAAAAAATCTCCTGAGGGCGATGTTTAGAAGGATGGGAAGAACACGTGTCTCCTATAACTTATACGTGTTACGAAGCACACTTCAGGACTACTACAGTGCTTTCCAACTTCAGGGCATCACCAACTTTTCTTTTCCTTTAAGGTCACTTTTGGCTCATTTGATCCTACACTGACTGACAGTGGCCAGTATCTTTCTGTCTATCAGGTGGCCCCAAAGGACACATATTTGGCCCTTGGCATGGTGTCCTTGATGCTTCATTTCCACTGGACCTGGGTGGGCCTGCTCATCACAGAAGGCCAGAAGGGTCTTCAGTTTCTGTCAGATGTAAGGGCTGAGATGGACAGGAACAGAGTCTGTGTAGCCTTTGTGAAAATGATCTCAACTGTGGCTGTCTCATATTTCTCATTTACAAAGCAGCATGATGTCCTGACTGCCGACACTGCATCAGTCAATGTGGTGGTCATTTACTATGATACTGATAGTACACATGATGTAAACTACAACATAGTGCAAGACTTAGTGACGTGGAAAGTCTGGGTGACAAACTCACGGTGGCATGCTGACCTTTCTGGGAGAGATTTCATACTTGACCCCTTCCATGGGACTCTTGTTTTCTCACACCACCACGAAGAGATCTCAGGCTTCAAAGACTTTGTCCAGGAAGCTACCCCTTACAAATATCCAGAAGACACTTATCTTTTTGTGTATTGGTCCAAGAATTTCGGTTGCTCCTTCTCTGAGTCTGACTGTGCCTTGAAGAACTGCACACCTAATGTCTCTGTGGCTTGGTTGCCTCCGAATCGTTTTGACACAGCCATGAGTGATGGGAGCTACAATATATACAATGCTGTGTACGCTGTGGCCCATGCCCTGCATGCAATGCTTTTGGAAGAAGTACAAAGGCCACCAGTGAGAAATGGACAAGTGATGCTGTTTCACCCCTGGCAGGTAATGTGTATTCTCTTGGATGGTGTGCACTGTCATAACGGTGCCCTCTCAAGTTATTCTATGTATTTCACCCAAGAATACTAAAATTATTTCTATGAAGTACAAGACATTGTATATCGCAATTATTGTTAGGGAGTTAATTCTTGAGCTGAGTTGAAATGACTCTCAATCAGGGAGCCGGAGGTAAGGAGGAGGAAACAGGAGGCCAGCTCATTGCTTCAGTCTAGAGGATGTCAACACCTTACCTGTGTAACATGTTTTGTGATTTTCTTAAAGGACAACTGGAAAACCTATAGTCAGTTACAAAACTAAATGGTGTTACACTTGAAAGTGCATGTAATTAAATTTCGTCATTCCACAATACTCTTCTGGTATTGTTGAACTCATTTTGTTGGTAGATGCTATGGAAATAGTGAAGTAGACAGTGGAAGTTGTGGTTTTTATTTATTTATTTATTTATTTATTTATTTATTTTAATTTTAACGATAAAGGGAGGGAAACATTAACAGACATACAACATTTTACAACATATCACAAGCACGGTACAGACAATACAGAGTTACAAACAAAGTGGTAGGGAATTAACAATGGTTGTTGTATTACATATTGATATCTTCCAAGTGGCTTCTCATGAAAACAGATATAGACATGCAATACTGGTCAACCAAAGACTCATTGACAGTTTCTTTCAGCATAGAAACAGAAGGCAGAAGAACAACCATGTTATCTATCCTGTATATACATACATACAAAATTTCTCCTTCTTTCCCTTCTCTTTTCAAAGTTGTGGATTTTATAACCTTTGATTTCACAGTTGATGTTGTCACGCAACAACTGCACCCTTTGTTTAAATGGGCTTGCAGAGAATACTTTCTTCCTGAAACTGATTGATGTTTCTTGAACATGGTGACATTTTAATCCTTAGACATTCATGTGCTCCAGTTTAATAGATAGCAGTGTTAAAGTTGGTTTAGGTAAATTTGGATTAAAGATGCCTAGGGACTTTCCCCCATCCATATTTTCTGTCCTTACCCTGGAGCTCTGTTCTGATAGAATGATGTGTCTCCTTTAGCTGCATCGCTTTCTGAAGAACATCCAATTTCACAATCCTGCTGGAGACCAAGTGAACGTGGATGACAGAAGGAAACTGGATTCAAAGTATGACATTCTCAATTTTTGGAATTTTCCAGAAGGCCTTAGACTGAAGGTTAAAGTAGGAACATTTTCTTCACATGCTCCGCATGGCCACAAAATGACTTTATCTGAGGATATGATAGAGTGGGCCACAGGAACTGCAGAGGTATGTTGTACCTATCATGGCACACTCTCTTAACCACAAGTGAGCTAAACACTGTCATAGGTTTTCTGCCCCCAGCTTTGGTCATATAATGGTCATATGTGGATATTGAATAACAATCATAAGTTTTCAATAGAAAAAAGTTGTTTAGAACCATTTGGATGTGTGGGAAAGTAATGCATTTACTTAATTATATTTTTGTAAATTTATACTTTATATTATGAAATTAATTTGGCATTCAGTTATGTAGCTTTGCTCATGTTGCAAATTAGGGTTAAATCTCTCAATCTGAAGAAATAAGTAAGAGTCTAAGAAGTTACTACCATATGTGTTTTTCCTCAGACTCCCCGCTCGGTATGCAGTGAGAGTTGCAATCCTGGATTTAGAAAAAGCCCTCAGGAGGGAAAGGCTGCCTGCTGTTTTGACTGCACCCCTTGTGCAGACAATGAGATCGCCAATGGCACAGGTAGG